GCCATGTACCCACGTGATTTTGACGTTTTAATCGTTTTAATTAAAATTAAGGTTAGGATTAGGGTTAGTTTGGTGTTAATATAAGAAGAGGCTTATAGGTAAATTCCCTTCCCGGCATTTTTAATTAGTGCCCCAAGAAAGGTTAAGACTGCCGTTTTTCGTCTTTTTGCGTTTTCTTTATTTTTTGACTTCTTCGGGCTGATCCGTGTAAACAAAATTTCGCAATTCCGGTTGGTTGATTTACACAAAAAAGTCACGTGGGTACATGGCTTTAGACGACCCCTAATTCTGGCCAAAATCAAATCGATCGAAATTTTTCGACCGGGTAAAATCGCCACCCAAAAAATTTTCAACATCACGTGGCAACTTTGTCGAGCACCAAAAATTCATGTATCTTGAACAAAAAAATACAAATGAAAATAATTAATAGACTAACAAAATGATAACCATAAGCAATTTGTTTATTTCGAATAAACTCAATAAAGTAATATTTATTACAGCCAGAAAGTATTATGATTACAGTTTTTCTAAACATTTGGAATATTTCATTGTCTTTTAAAATGATTATAATCCTCCACTTTATGCAATGGCTCAAAGTTTTTATTAATACTATTTAGCCATTTGTTATTATTTGGATTCATTATATTTTCTTCAATCATTTTTTTGTTGGGTTCTGGATTCAGAATTATAAGAACTTTTTGCTCAAATAATTAATTGAGTTATAGTCTTTCGAAAGAGCATTAAAAATAAAGACTACAAGGTTTTCTGGTGTAAATACACTTTCTTGATAATTTTATTTCGATTTTCATTCTTTTTTTTCGTTATTAGTCCGAAGCGAAGCGGAGGACTATCTATTTCTACGTAAAGTGTGATCTGCGATGTTTTTCTGTCCGTCCGCCCACGTGATTATAAACCAATCATATTTTACTGATCGATAAAAACCCACATGTTTCATGCCCCGGACTTATACCGGTTCCCGGTTCCTAGTTATTAATGGAAATTTGGTTGGCAATCGATGTAGATTTTTATAATATTTGTTTATTGAATTTTATGTTTTTAAAAGAATTTTTTGGTTTGTCGAGGTTGCAACGATCGCTTTTCATATTGAAGAATCGAAGAAGATAAATCACTTACTAAATCAATTAATATTTTATAAATATTATTATCATGGTCTAAATTGACAATATCACATGATTTCGAAAGTTTTTTGGGTGGCGATTTTACCCGATCAAATTTTTGACTGTAATGGAGTTAGGTTAAGGATATAGTTTAGGCAAGTCTGTTTAATTCTGGTAAACAAATGACGTCATGATACGTTTATGCATTTGGGGTCTTTGCCTTGAAAATCACCTTACGACATTTTCCGATCGGGCTAATTCGGACAAAACAAACCAGAATAGCGGGTTGTATTTATATGTGAATCACATTTTGATTTATTGATTCAATAATTTATTCAATAAACTATCGAATAAATAAAGGTCAAATGTGATTCACATATAAATACAAACTGATATTTTAGTCTGTTTTGTCCGAATTAGCCCGATCGGAAAATGTCGTAAGGTGATTTTCAAAGCAAAGACCCCATTTGATCGTCGACCACAGAATAGATTTTAATTATATTTACTTTTCGAAAATATCGGATATTTACTCAAATTTTGGTTCGACCTTGCTCATCTTTTATGGTCATTTCTGAAATTTCGGACCTACATAAATTTCCGCCTTAGCAGATTTATTTTGCTTATGCGATTAGGGGAGCTATCTAGCATTTTGATTGTTTAACTTTTTGGAGAGTTGATGATGTTAACCGAAAGTTTAACTTCGAATAGCCCAATTATATTACAGTCTGCCCTCCCTCTAGTCATTTTCTATAAAAATCAACTTATATAAGCCATACAAAACTTTAACCTCTATATAAGCACAGTCTTTATAAGCCCAGAATTTTCTGGAACGAAGGGCGTGACTATAGAGAGGTTTGACAGTATATCTTTTTATCTTATTTTTTATTTATTATTTTTATTTTTTTAATATTTTAAATTTTTTTCATATTTTTTATTTAATTTATTATTTTATACTTTAATTTTTTTCCATATTTTATTTTTTTGTATTTTAGGTGAGACCAACTTAATTTGGTGGTTGGTTTGCATTACATTCCTTTTTTATTTTTTTCATATTTTATTTTTTTAATATTTTAGCAACTTAATTTGGTGGTTTACGTTACATTCCTTTTTCATAAATGGGGGAGAAAAATGATATATATAGTAAATTTTATTAACCTTTTTTTCAATCGAAATTATCGGCCTTCCCTTGCTCGTCTTTTATGCTCGCTCATCGCTCATTTTCTCTTCGGAATTTTTCGGACCCTTACAATTTCTAATTTTAACTTCGCCCGGCATTACCTCTCTGACCAAAATTATACAAAAATTATTTACTAAGAAAAAGAGTGAGGAGATTGAAATGGGGATAATGTAAACCACCAAATCAAATTGGTCTGGCCTTATTTTACCGGGGACCATCGAAGGGAGAGGGAAGAGTAGACTTAGTAACGGATCAAATTTAATATAGGCCATTATTCAACAATTAAATAAGCATAGCCTATACTGAGTTTGATTTCTAGATGGCTAATAATTTTTTATATGTTCATTTTGCCGGGGTGATGTTAACCGAAGAATCAACTTCGAACGGCCTTATTGTTATAGTTTACTGTGTAATACAATTATGTAACTACTTAAAACGATAATCGTCATTACTTGTATTAGTATACATAATTTTACCAGTAATAATATCCGAAATCACATACTAACCAGTAAGAAATCCGGCTACCATTTTTTCTGGGCGACGATACGTAAGCTGAATGCAGTTTATAATGTCACATGATCTCGCGGTCATGCATGTCCGCCCTCACAATAGAATAATTAATAGTTATATCCTGGGTAGTTGGGATAAGTGGAATTTTGCAGTGAATATAATCGGCCGATTCAAAATTTCGCTTATATCTAACTACACAGGATATAACTGATTTATCCCTGCCATCTATTTAACATAAATTTCATGTACTTTTTTTAAGCGAAATTTTTATTTTACGCGCTGTTTTTGACATTTAAGATTAAATAGGATATACTCAATTACCTAAATTAAATAGATATATATCTAGCAGAAATAAGTACGTAAAAAAATTTACATAGATGAGGTTGGCCAGGGATAATTGGCACAATTGGGAATTAAAAAAAATGTTTTTTATTGTAAACTGAAACATTGGTCGATTGTTAATGCAAAATGAAAAATCAATTATGTACGGCCTTACTTTCATTTCCGATTTAATAAATAATTAAATAATTTAATTATTCAAGACTCAAATTTAAAATTCATTCTTAATAATTAATTAGCATGGATTTACTTAACAAAGCTAATAATCTTCATAATAGTTTTATTAAGATAATAAGCTATTGATAGTGTCAACAGTGATTAGCAATGGCGTGAAAAAGCTTACACAAATTGTATACAGATAAATTGATAAATCAAATATTAATGCCCAACAATTAGTAAGACAAAATACAGTGGTAACTAGAAAATAATAAGACTTTAAAACACATATTATCTTTTGTGACTATTTATAAATTTAGGAATGAGGGCTTTTCAGCGTTTTCACCTTTTTCACATTCAGAAATGCATTCAACTGGTCTCTTATAAAATATATAATCATCAGGATTAAGGCTATAGTACCTATTGAAAAGATGACCCCTAGCATTTTTGTTAATAAAAACCTTTCCATGAAAACGTGGATTACAAATTTCACGAAGGACGCCCATCTTAGCAATAAAATCATCTTCATTTGCATAATGTTCAATGCATTTAATCAAGCCTTTTGGATTTATAAACTCTCTAGAAATATTTGCAAATGTGTAAACCTCAAGTTTCCTAAGAAGGGCTTCGTCGTATTCATCTTTTTCTGAATAGCTCAACTCCCAGTATAATTTTTTTATGACCAAATTTGCAATGACACTACCCTCAGAATGTGCGATTAATCTAACTTTTTTAATATTTTCATCTTTAAGTGCTTGGAAAATATTCCATGAAGCCCAACGTACCGGTATTGATTCATCATCAAAACTTCTTGCGAGAAT